ATTGTATTAACAGCATTTTAAAGTTTTGAAGTTCTCAGGTAAAGTAGACCTCTAAGTTGACAAGCTGTTTACATCATCGTTTAAATCTGACGTCGCTTCCTGAAAAAACATGTAGAAACTTTTGCAGTGGTTGCGGAATTAGGTCATAAACAAATTCAAAGCCGTAAAAACCTTCTGGCCTGTTAGTCTGCATTAGGTGAACGTTACTTAGGTGCTTCCGATGCTATAATGTCTATGTTAGCCATCTTGGTGAAAGAAAATCGTTGTTCGATGAGGGAAAGACAAGTAGATGCGAAATAGAACTGAGGGCAGGAAGTTTTCCAGGTGAGAAAAGATTTAAACTGTATTCTCCCATTTTAGAAGCAAAGTGATAAGTAAGCTTACAAGTGATATAAATAAGAGTTGAAGTTTTCGATTCTGGGCCCGTGGTTAAATCGACACGTGGTTTATGATTCATGGTTGAGGGCAGCTTTCACCGTTTGCTGTGTTTGGTGCCTTGGAACATGATTCGGTCAACCGCCTGTCGATTCAAAAATGGTGTTATGCTGTTTTTTACTCACCATTCCCATTCGTGCAGAACCGGTGTTTTTGCTCTTCCTTCGTCATTCGTCGTTTGTTTCCGCTGATAGTTCTCTATGTGAAAACCTAGCAAATCTTCAGACAGTAATCGCAGAGTCAACGCGTTTCTTTCCATACCTGTGTTGTCTTCTTTCAAATGTGCTACAACCGTGCTAAATCTGCTAGCATAGACTCAATCTAAACGAAGTCTGCAATTTCGACTGCTATGCAGCAGCACAACGAAAGAACTTTTTTGGCCATTGACTAATATCTTCTTGAGGGATGCGTCAATCAATGTGTAAATGTAGTATCGAGTGAAATATACATTATCAGATCTGATGTCTTACTCCTAAATCTAAAAAAGCCAGAGACTGTAAATGAGTACCACTGACCACTGGCCACCTTATGATCGGCTTCACAGGCTCATACGAATTAACGTTGCATTCCTCTCAGTTTCTATGTTTAGTATCACTCCTTAGATACAGGCCATTTCTTTTCGCATTTACATTCCAATCATCAATCATCTAAGTGATTCTTTTTGCCTGTTAAGAATAGACACCACTCTTACTTTCTTCCTCTTCTCTGCATTTTAATTCCGTTTAGCTCTGCTATCTGTCAACTGCATATTCCATTTGCAACTTTATCATACTCTGCGTTATTCTTCTATAGCCGTGACGCTCTGACGTTTACTTGTGTACCACTGTCGAACGATGATGATTGAGTATCATTTTTTAGTACAAAAACTTCTAATCTCGAAACAATTTCTTCTCTTCATGTATTCAGTCTTTTCTGCGTTTAATTTAATCAATTATGACGGAAGATATCGAAAATCACAGTATTATAGTATTACATTGCCACAAACTTTTGTCCGTTTATTGGGATTATAAATCTGTTGTATTTTCAGTCTTACCTTGATCTATTTCTCTACGTCACTATCTGACAAGTCATCAAGCATGTAGTGCAAAACGGTTGTGTCGCAAAAAAGGAATAACCGCTGGAAATAAGTTAAAAACACACTGTAAACGAATCGGGGAGGAAAGTGTACGTTTTCCCTTTGGAATGAAGGCAGTGAACTTCAGAAACTTTCGTGCATGCATCGCTTTGTAGATAGTCGCCAAGTCTAGCACTTGTGTTCATTTTTCATGAACATTAAATAATTGTCCAAAGGACAAAATTTGAATTTTTCATTTCTTCCTCCAGTTTTCTAACAGTACTATTGAGAGTTTCGAGAGCTTGGCACAACCATAAATAGATAGAGCATTTCATATAAATATAAAGATTTTTCGATTGCGAAATTTTAAAATAGATTCAACCCGACATTTCGAGCTGATTCCATCTTGTTCTTCGGCGAGTGATTTTTGCTGGTTTGACATCGCTAGTGAAGTTTGGCCACTTTACGCGTCTCTGGGCATCAGGGCACATCAGAAAATGAAATGAATATGAACTACAACTGCATCGAATTAACAAAATTTAGACCATTAATTGACGGATTGCAGCGGAGTATTGTCAGTTGGGCATAAAAATGACAACGTCACCGCTGCTCTATTTACGTGAGACCCGTAAATCGGGGCCAAAACAGTGGTTTGGTCAATTTTAGAAATCTGTTACCAGCTAAACTCTTCATTCTAATCTAGGCTAATGGAAACGTGACCTGCTGTGAAGAGGGTAAAATAAATTATGCTTCGTCGTGCTGTCCTCAGTGATAAATGCACAGAGAGATTTTGAATGTTACCGCCTGAGTGAATATTTAGAGTATCTTTTTCCTGAATGGACCGTTGTATTATAGATAAGTGTCTGAACGTTTCATGGTTCAGAACACCAAGCACTACAGATCGTACAACAGTTCATTGCCGACGCGTTTCGCTACATAAGCCGTAGCATCGCCAGGGCTAGTTTAGATACAAATGACTGCTTGAAGGCACATGTCCAACATGCGAACAGTACGTTACAGTCAAAATGTTGTTAAACTGAACGATCAGAGTGTTAACCGACGAGCCAGTGTGAAGTTCTCATTAAAACAATTTTATCAATTCTGCAATCGTCTCCCAGCTTTCACTAACTATAACCATGGAAGACGTGCATTCATTGCACATCCGGTATTTCAATGCCAGCATATGAAGCGACTCTTATACCAACGCCTCTAATTTAGAATAGTCATAGTCTTTGTCTATAACGTGTACACATTAGTCTGACTGAAAGAATGCCTTTCAGTAATCAAGTGCTTACTGGAATTGTCAGCCTGCCCAAGGCGGACCGCAGAAAGGTGCCCTTTATCCCGAGGTTCAATCTTCGGTTGATCTTTCCAATGTATCAACCGGAAATTGATCATCAGGGTGAAAGGGCATCTTTCTGCGATCCGCCTTGGGCAGGCTGACAATTTCATTAAGGCTTGATTACTGAAGGACATTCTTTCGGTCAGACCAATGTGTATACATTGTAGACAAAGATAAATCTAAATGAGGTCCGCTGGTGATGCTATGGTCTATGTAGCTAAACGCGTCGGCAATAAAGTGTTTGCGCCGTCTGCAGTGTGTGGTGCTCTGAACCATGAATCGTTCAAGCACTTATCTATATAACTATGGGCCCAGATTCAAAACCTGAAGTACCATTTACTGTTGTATTATGGTCTCAAGTTTTCAGAAAATCATATTTCTTGTAGGTTTTGTTGTTTTAACTCTGTTTAGTCTTAGTTGACCGTAATGATGAAAATGAAGTTCCCACCTACTGTCGGTGACTTTCTGGGCGAAAAATTTTTTTCTAATTTCTTTCGGTCGATTATGTTTGAATCTAAGCGAGCACTTTAGCTCACTCTGTCGGAAGATGAACAGAAGTTGTTAGCAGAGCGTTGATAAATAAAACCCCAGGACATCACAGTGTCTTGACTTTTCCAAATAGTAAATGATGATTCCGCCCATCAAGCACAAGATGAAATCCGTCGATATGCTGTAAGAATTACAGTCAGCTGATTCGACAGTCCAGTTAAAGCAGTGAATTTTTGCGTAGCAAAGCGAACATGAAACACGACAAACCATATCGAAACGCGCAAAATCAGACCTGAGCATAAAAGGCACATTTCTGTCCGTTACTGACTGTTTTGTTCAGCTGAAGAAAACCGGTCGCCATCTCTTAACAGACGTGGTGCTCAGCCCGCCAACGCCTATTTTTTACATGTTTCACCTGATGCCGTCGAGGGCAGATATCGGATGGGATAGGATAGATAGCAGTGAATTAAAGTGCGCACGTAAAAAAGTGTGACTACTTTAGGACATGCATCGCATAGCCTAAATAAATCACGCGACGTCAACCTGCCAATAATTTGTCGATCAGACATCTTGCGCTTTGATTGGATGAATTTTGTGGCCAAGAAATTTACAGTCGGTCAGAAAAGGTTCCACGCCAATCACGGTGTCTGATCGAACCACCATTCCAATGATACAGCGTGTAATTCACAGTTTGTAATATTCTAACCGTCACGTGATGCGAAGCATTTTGACTACGTTTAGGTCACTCGCAGAAGCCATTTTCACGAAGGAACGGACCACACCTCCCTCCTTTCTCAAACTTGCCCTATTACCGGCCAGAGTAGAATTTATAGCCAGTTATCCTTTGTCAACAAATCACTACGACAAAAGTTAGTACAGCGTTAAGAAACCAATGCCAAGTACTGCGGTTGACTGTTCATCCTACACGCTGAATGGTTGGTATTTGATTGTTGCTTGACTATGCGCTCTATGACTCTTGCCATTGCATTATTCATTATTAGATTTATCACTCAATCATTGTAAATGATCGGTTGTCCTTTCGAGTAGCAGGAGCAGACTTGTAAAATAGTGCTTTCAACTTTTCCGATTCTGTGATAGCGTTTGAGCTCCTGCAGAAGATACCGGGAGTCTAGAGTAGACTCCTACCACATGTTTGCACCGACTTTATTTTGGCCGTCTTCTGGGCCTTCTGCCCGTCAGCTGGGCAAACAGTAGCTGTTGTGATTTCCTTTCTGGAAACATACGCATCACATACCCAGGTCATCGCAGCTGCGGCTTCTCAATCCGGAGAGACAGCGGCTGAACACCAAGACTCTTTCGGATATCTGTACCCCGGACCATTCTGAGGCCCGACAGGACAGCGATTAGAGTCAGAGAGCGAATTTCAGCCTCTTGCTCTAAAAATAGAAGTTTTTCGGTCATGACTCACGACTCGTGACTCTAATTAAAGTTTTCTTGCGTTCAAAAACCTTAAACTGTGATCGAAAATGCTTGGTAGGGTGCGAATGGTAGGGTGCTTTAGCTTGTGTGCGAAACCAGAACGTAGATCCTAATTCGTCAAAACATGATTCTATGCTGCGAACGTACGATGGGACGATCCATGTGAAATTTTTTAAAAGGAAATTTTCTCACTGCAGGCAGCCAACGATAATGCAATTTATTCTTTTCTCGTCATTTCAAATGTCATTTCCAACCTACGCCTTCAAAGAACTGTACTGTGAAATTGGCCCAGACATGGTAAAAGCGACAGTTTGAGGAATCAAAGCTATGCTATGAATTCGCTCTAAATTTTAACATTAATTTCCGCTGATAAGGTGAATTTGCTGAGCAGTAGACGCTGTCCAGGCGTTATAATAAACTGAATCAAATGAGGTGAGGAAAGTTCTGAAAAGCCGGTGAGCAAAAGACGTTCGCTTAGCACGCAATATTGTGACCGTCTAATGTTTACTATGAATAATTTGACGCGAATTCCATTGTGTGCAATCCGAAATTTCGCATCCACTTCTGACGAAGGCTTATTTACTTAAGAACGAGTCTGTGCGTACATTCTTCGCGTCCATACATTCATCCGTGTTATTTAGGAAATGAAGAATATGCGCGTGCCCAGCTACGACCCTTACCAGCGTCCCGGTACGCTATACGGTCAGGTTACAGCAGCCGTTTATGATCCCCTAACGGGCGCCACACCGGCCTACAGCACCCTGACCGCTTTGCCGTCAACACAGCATCTACTATCGTCGCCATATAATCTACTAGCTGCTCCTGGCCAAGAATACTACCAGCGCAACTCTGACTATTACAGCGGCATTCGACCATTGCAGTCGGTTTACGCGGAGAGTACCGAAGAGTTGATTGAAAGGTATCCCATACGTTGCGCATATTTCCGCGTAGAAATAAAAGACTCAGACCCGGAAACGTAGAGGAAATTCAGCCGTGTAATTCGAGGACGAATTACGTCAAAATTAGGAGCTGTTTAGTTTACCGTAGCCGGCACGACACTCCAATGAACACAACAGAACAGTTATACTGTAGGATAGTACAGAAACGAAACGCGGTTCCAGGGCTTTCAGTAACAACCACAAAATTGAATGGAGTTTTAAATTTTTAGAATCTTTTGGAGCTTGGCAAAGTCTGAAAATTTAATTAGTATTTTGTTAAAAGTTGAATCGCTTCTACAGTCGTCGAGATCTAATGGAAATAAGTTTCCTATTAAAAATTTTATTTAATCTTTTATACATCATTTGAATTCAAAATTTTTGCTAACATACCTAGACAAATTTAAACTATATAATAGCAT